AAAGATGTGGGGAAATTTAATTAAAAAAAACTTTTTTTTTTTTTTTTTTTTTTTTTTTTTTAAAACCAGTGTGAGCAAAGTAGCTTTGATCAGCTCAAAGATATAACTGAATACACGGTTCATTTAAAGCACAGTAGTAGTACAGCCATGCTTTAGGATAAAAAGTTTTTATTACTATTCATTTGCTAGAAGTACAGCAGTATGAAGTCATATATCCAATTCAACTTTTCCACATTATTAAACTCAAACAGAAGTGTAGGAAAAGCACATGAAAATGAATTTACAAATCAACTTAGCCACAACAGACAAATTATTCACTATTTCGGTGGGGATAAGGATAAAATACATTTGAGTGTATCCCTGAAGTAATTATATTTCTACAAAATAAAGCTATTCAGATTCTCTCAGCTGCCAAGCTAAAGATGTCACAATCTTAGAGCGACTATTTCTCCATCACTTATTACCATTAAGTATGCTGTGCCTCTCTTAACATGGGTAGGGGAGGGAGTATCAGTGCTTAAGGCTCTGGTACTACCACTGTTTGTCTACGATGCAGAAACAAAGTATTTCTCAGAATCCAAACACAATCATAAAGGAAAGGCACTTTTGGTCACCTTTGCACCAGCATTATTACCCATACACTAAACACTGGCAATTCCCAAGTGATTTACACAATACCATGTTGGCAATATAAACCAGCCATTGGCTTCGTTGATAAGACATTGTGGTAGATATACATTTAACAAAATTACCTTTCTCCCTCACATAATTTTAGCTTCCTCCATGTAATACCTCTAAATTGGAATAAGCTTGAACACCCTTTTTTTAATAGGGCTAAGTAAGACAAGCGCTTTACAAGCCTCCAAATCAAAGAGTTCTCTGAAAGACAATACAAGGCTCTGTACTGAAGTCAATGAACTCTGTTCTACAAAACCCTTCCTGAATTTATATCCTTAGAACTAAATACCGTTTCTGACATGTTTAAACAGAAGGGTTTAATCTTATGTACCCTCATTACTTTTTAGTATAACAGGCCATTCTTGTACTTGAATTAGAGACACTAGATCCTGACTCACCCAGAGGATTTTCTTCTTAAGAACAGAATATTGACACAGAGTTAAATATACGTAGAAGATGGGAAATGGAGGCTAAGGGAAATGGGGAAGAAATGACACATCAAGTCACCATCTGAATAAAGAATTTTATCTGGCAAAAAGTTGAAGACTAAAAAGATAAAAGAAATCAAATCTTATTATAGGATAGTCACTGATAACAATCTGCCCAATATTATTTTACTTCCATCTCTTTTACAGGTAACAGACTTCCTCTGTATCTAGAGGTTTTAATAAGCATTTATACACAATAAGAAATCAGGATGCCTCTGAAGTTTAAGCCAGTTAAGAGAGATAGTCATTTACAATGGAGGTGGGAACCAGATATGAGGAACAGAAGGCAAGTACAGTATTAATCTACATTTAATTATATTTTGTTTTAATCAAGTACTTAGATGATAGCTTAAATTATTCTTCCCCCTCAACCCATGGAAACTTGCTATCCTTATGCTTCTCAAACTAAGAAGTAACAAAACCCCAGAATATACTAGATGAACATTTAAATACTCTACTTCAAAAATACTACTGTAACACTGCCTGGAAGCGGTAGCATAGGTTTCTTTTATCTATATTCTCCTTAGAATAGACTCCTAGAACCACTCCTTCCTATCAGTTCTTATAACATCCAAGGTATATGCTGCATTGCATCATAGGAATTGTCATCCACCTAGACAGGCCAGCCCATACAGAGCTCATTGGTCTACTTTGTCATGCAAGCCATTACTGTACATTCTTCCAGGGAATTTAATGGCAAAAGAAATGTAGTTCACAACTCTTTAGGACAGCAACTCCAGTTGTTTCCTACTGCAGTTCCAAGGGATGCCACGTGAAGGTGCCATGAGTCAGCTCAAGCCTTGGGCACCTCTTCTGAATGCTAAAAGTCACTTTTTACTAAGCATTTGAGTACCACTGACCCTAGTACAGCAAAAGAATGATAAACAGCTTTCATATCTTCAGCTATCAAATGGAGTCTGTTTATGTTCAATGAAGGTATACTATAGCCTGACAGACTTTGAAATGAATTGATAACCTTCGTATCAACATCACAATCAATCTATTTATGGACAAGGTATCGAGTTACCTTTCAAATATAAATTGTACTACTTATACTTTAGCCCAGAAGCCTGATACCTTCCCCCCCATAGATGAATACACCAGAGCAGTAGTTTTATACTGCCATTTCTTTACAGTTTTGTGATACAGCAGAGGAGTGGATAAAAGGATAGAAGATTCCTATTTGAAAAGCTATTTCAGGATTCTTTTCTTCGTGACAGACCAGTGTAAGTTCAGCATTATTGCTACACTGAGCATGAGGGTATGCATGCATTCTTATCAGGCTGTAGGCATTTCCAATAGTTTAAATATGGTCCAAAGCCTAATTACCATATTGGGGGAAAAAAAATAGGACAGATCCACCAAGTCAGTTCTAACAATGCAATAATGCTCAGAAGGATGACATTACTTGCATGGCAGCTTACTCAATAATTGGTTTTGTAACTTGAAAACAGAGTTTAACCGTTACAATCATTTTCTGGAGTATGTACACCAGA